GCCCGGGGAGCCGTGAGGGCCCCTTCGCCAGCTGCCCCTGTGGTGGGGCACAGCTGGGGTGGGGGGTGGCTGGTGGCAGCGGAGGGAAGAGGGATGGCTATGGATACAGCGGGGGCAGGAGCAGAGCGGCAAAGTTCCAGGATTCATGGAAAATCCCAGCACAAGGATAGTTTTGTCTGGCTTGCCAATACCGGCGGCCCTTGTCAGCACCAGGGGTGCGTTTGCTGTGCTCCCCTCCCGGGAAAGCATCCCCAGCGCACCCCTCCTCTGTGTGCTCCCAACATCCTTCCCGCAGCTGATTGATTTCTGTTTCATTTATTTTTGTGGTGGTGGGGGTTTTTTTGGGCTGAGCTGCATCTCCAGCGACTGCCCTGGACACGGAGGGGCCATGTCTCCCTGGTGCCCCCCAGTTTTATGGGGTACTGCGAGGCAGCATCCTACCGGCTGGAAGCATCCAGCCCTGCGCCGGCACTGGACAGACCTTGGGAAAAACGCCCTGCGTTGCTCTGGGGTTTTATAAAAAAACCACGATTATTTTTGCAGCAATTTTCCATCTATTTTGGGTAGGAAGGAGAATATATTTTTATTATTTTTTTTGAGTCTTTAGGGTGACTCCGCTTTTAACCCGCTCCTGTGAAAGTCCCATATGATGGCAGGGACCCCATGGGTGCTGAGGTGGGTGGGCTCCATAGCCATCCCTCTGTCCGGCTGGCCATCTGTCCTGCAGGGAGGGGATCAGCAGGTTTGTCTGTCAGGAAAACCCTCAGTAAATCCATGCACAAATAACAGCTGCTGTTTGCCGAGCCGGGAAAACTCGCAGGCACAGTGGCTGGGGATGGGTCTCCAGGTGCCAGAGATGGAGATGGTCGTGGACCCACTGGTGGGTTGAATTCCAGCTTTTCCCCTGTAATAAGGAATATTTTCCAGCTGTGCATTGCTTCCATCCAGCCTGGACGTCTGAAGGCATAAGACAGGATGGTGCCGTGCAGCGAGATGGAAAATCTCTTGGTGAGGCGGGGTGAGGTGGACCCCAAACCCTGTGACCGGCCCTGTAAATGCATTGCATTAACTGTATGCTTGACCAGAAGTATGTGGCAAATATTGCATTAAGTATATGCTAGTCAGAAAGCCACTTAAATCATAGGCTGCAGAATGTATGTTTGCTAAATACGTTTTCGGCAGTGGATGAACATGCGGCGTTTTGGAGTTGGGCAGCTGCTCGCTTTTTTTAAATTTTTGAAGATTTTTTAACAAAAAAAAAGGAGGAAATCAGCTGGAGAGAGTGCTCCCCTCCTGTTTTTGACAGGCGCTGCTCTGGGAACGAGCGCTGCTGGGTCTCGGTGGGCAGGGCTGGAGAAGGGCTGGCAGTGGGGTCACCCCATGGCAGGGGCCTTCTCTCTTTCCCCCCCCCGATGTCTGGCTGGTGTGTGGGGGTCCAAAGGATGTGAAACCGCTGTGTTTTGGGCAGGGGGGGTGGAAGCTGTCAGTTGACATCCTGCCAGGGGATTGTTTTGGGGCTGAATGGACAGCTGACGGAGTTTTCCGGAGATTGAAACCCTTCCTCTGCTTCATGCTCACCTGGGGAGGGCGGTAGGGGTGCCCCTGCCCTGGGCTGGGTGGGAGTCATGTCCCTTTGGAGTGCTGGGGGTGGCACAGCGGGGGAAGCGTGCAGCGTCCCCACCAATTGCCTGGCCTCTTTGTTAGACAAAGGTGGTGATTTGAAAGGGAAATGGGAGGGGGAACACTAATTGCTGCGACCCGGGCTTCATTCTGGGTGCTGGCGAGGCAGCCGGGGGTGTTGTTAGTTCAAGCCTGAATTTCTGCTGGCCGTGAGCACACAGACTGTCCTGCTGGGCTAGCTCCTTGTGCCCGGCAGTGAGCAGAGGTGCTGGCTTGAAATGGGAGGGCAACTGCGGGGAAGGAGCCAGGAGTCATAGGGGAAGCTGGTGAGGGAAATGGCTG